AAAACAGAAAACTGTCAACGATGGAAATCTGAAATAAAGAGATAAAATGCCAGGCATATATAAAAGTGTATAAAGAAAAGGTCAGCTACAATGTTTCTGTCACATAGCCATCATTAGAACTGAAAGTTGGAAGTTAAGTATGTCTTTTTCATAAGACTGGAAAAAAAATGTTGACAGAAGAGGCGGGGACGAGCTGGGCTGGTTTTGGGATGTGGCCAGGAGAGGGGAGATTTTGAAGCTTGTGAAGTCCACATTGATACCAGTGGACTGCAGCGTTCCCAAGTGAAATATGAGGTGCTATTCCTGCAACCTTCGGGTGGCATCATTGTGGCACTGCAGGAGGCCCAGGATGGACATGTCGTCCAAGGAGTGGGAGGGGGAGTTGAAATGGTTCATGACTGGGAGGTGCAGTCGTTTGTCGCGAACCGAGCGTAGGTGTTCCACAAAGTGGTCCCCAAGCCTCAGCTTGGTTTCCCCGACGTAGAGGAGGCCTCATCGGGAACAGCGGATGTGGGAGGTCTTCTTGGGGCCTGGGATGGGGGTGGAGGTGTAGGGGCAGGTGTAGCACTTCCTGCGGTTGCAGGGAAAAGTGCAGGGGGTAGTGGGGCTGGTGGGGAGTGTGGAGCGGACAAGGGAGTCACGGAGAGAGTGGTCCCGCCGGAAAGCAGATAAGGGTGGGGAGGGAAAAATGTCTTTGGTAGTGGGGTCAGATTGCAGATGGCAGAAGTGCCGGAGGATAATGCGTTGGAACCGGAGGTTGGTGGGGTGGTACATGAGGACGAGGGGGATTCTGTTTTGGTTGTTATTGCGGGGAGGGGCCGTGAGGGATGAGTTGCTGGAAATGCAGAGACACGGTCGAGGGCGTTTTCGACCACTGTGGAGGGGAAGTTGTGGTCCTTGAAAAACGAGGACATCTGGGATGTCCGGGAGTGGAATGCCTCATCTCGGGAGCAGATGCGGCGGAGGCGAAGAAATTGGGAATAGGGGATGGCATTTTTGCAGGAAGGTGGGTGGGAGGAGGTGTATTCTAGGTAGCTGTGGGAGTCGGTAGGCTTGAAATGGAATTGAAATTGAATGTGTGCTTTTCTTCTGTCCAGATCCATAACAGGTCTTTGCCACCAAATGGTTCAGTAGATCTGTACAGAGTGTATATTAACAACAAAAGGGCACACTTTTAACGTGAAAGGCAGAAGGTTTAGAGGAGTCTTGAGTAAAAATTTTTTCACTCAGAGAATGGCACATATCTGGAATACACGGCCTGGGAGAGTAGTGGAGGTAAGTAAACTCACAATCTTTAAAAAGTACTTGGATGTGCACTTGAAGTGTCATAACATTCAAGACTATGGGCTTAGTGCTGGAAAGTGGGGCTGGTGTACATTTAGTGTATATTTGGTGGTACACACTCAATGGGTGAAGGGCCTCTTCTGTACCATATGCTTCTATATTGTATGAATGCTCATGGAATGCCACGAGTTCGCATGGGGAGTGAGTGGAGCAACTGAGGGCTAAAGAGCCAAAGCCTTTAATACAAACGGCATGAAGTCCCAGAAACCCAAAGCAGAATTCAAATTGGTCCACTTCGGCACTTGGCTGCCCCAACTGTAATATAACCTGCCTCTACTCGTAAACCAGCATAGCATCCTCTGAAATGATTATCTAAGCCTCTGAATCAACCATACCAAGGTTTTCACAGCTGATTGCCCATACAAAGGAAGAAATACTTCTATAATTCTTTTTCTGACAACTCAAAGGGCTCTACAGCCAATGAAGTATGTTTTTGAAGCATAGAGGCTGTTATAACAAAGGAGATGCAGCAGTCAATAGCTAATTCTCACAAGCAGCAATATGATAATGACCAGATAATCAACATAAAATACAGATTGAGGGATAAATATTGGTCAGGGCATTGGGAATAAATCCTCTATTCTACTTCAAAATAGTCCTTTAAATTTTTTTATTTGTCCACTCGTGGGATGTGTGCATTGCTGGCTGGGCCAGCATTTATTACCCGTCCTTAGTTGCCCTTGAGAAGGTGGTGGTGAGCTGCCTTCTTGAACAACTACAGTCCACTTGCTGTAGGTTGACCCACAATGCCCTCAGGGAGGGAATTCCAGGATTTTGACCCAGCAACCGTGAAGGTACAAATGTACAGTACAATGGAATCTTTGACATCAACTTGAGCAGGCAGATGGGACCTTGGTTTAATATCTCATCTGAAAGATGGCACCTCTGACAGTGCAACACTTCATCAGTACTTGGTCACTGGTAAAGTGCTTTGTGGCTGTGAACTGCATTATATAAATGCAAATCAATTTTCCCCCTTTTGGTAGTTTTGTTTACTTCTTGGATGTTAATAAAAATTACATCTGGGTTCCCCTTCATGTTATCCATTAATTGATTTTTGTACACTCGCTTTGATTTTCTTACTTCTCTTTGCAGTCCTCCCATGTTTCTGAATCCTGTATGGTTCTCTACCGAATTACGAGTTGACACCTAGCATAAGCCTTTTTTGCTTTCATTCGGCTCTTTATGTTTAGTAATCCTGGAAACTCCAGCTTTGGATGCCATTCCTTTTGTTTTTGTGGGAATGTAGCTAATCTCTACCTAAATTTGTTCTTTTTTGATAGCACCTTAAAGTTCATAACGCAACAAAAATCCGTTGTGGAAAAAGATCCACAATAGCTTTGAAAATAATACATAAATATTTGAAAAGTGAAAATGTAAAAGAGTACAGGGCAAGTGCAGAGGAAAGAGGCACGTAGATAGCTGTATTAGAGAATTCACATTGCTTTTTAGCCTGAATGCACACATTCTGTAATTGGCATGAAATCAGACAAACTTTCCATAATTGGCCTGCAGTCAATATACTGGTCAAACATAAAAACAGCTTTCCATATTCTGAAAATTAAACAAGGTATCTTAATGGTTAAGCAAATATAAATAGTAGGTAAGGTATGTTACCTCAAATAAAGCAAACTAATATATTGTGGAGTATTGTCTCGGCATTATTTCAATAAGTGTAAAGCTCACCTCCAATAATATAGTATTTATCTGTGGATTTAAAACCTCTGCTTTCTTTTTAGCCTGTAAAAACAATGCATAGAAAATTTCACAAATGCAATTAAGCCAACTCTGCCATAGGCTACAAAAAAAAATACTGCTGGAAAACTGAAATGCCCAGCAGGTCAGACAGATTCAAGATTCGAGGTTGATGCTGACTTTTCACCAGACTGAGGAAAGTTCGAAAAGCAATAGGTTTTGAGTAAGTGATATGTGGGGAAGGGGAGGGAACAAAGGGAAAGGTCTGTGGCTAGGACTGGAAAGATTAAACAGCAAAAGATTTTTGTGGTAACGTATACGAATGGCTGAACAGCATGTATCCACAAAAGTCTTATGTATGTCTTACGTTAAATTAACCAACTGTTTAAAATATGGGAGGAATTCCAAAAGTATTTATATCCTGTTTCTGTTACGGAAAACCATTTGGTACATTGAGAAAACTGTCTCTGCAATTTTGTTTTGAATATTTTTCAGCAATGTACTTTCTTACTTGATGAAACATTTTAACCTGTACTGCTTCAATAACTTCTCCAACCCAGACCATATTGAACTTTTTATGAATTGTGAAATCACTATTAATCCGAATTGGCACCTTGAAGTTTGATATAAAAGTTTGAAGCAGGTGTCATTATTAAATTTAAGGCAGTAAAAGTGATACTAAATAACTACAAGAACTTACCCCGGCTTGAGTCAAACAGGAAGCAAATTTCTTAGAAAGTGAGGACACTTCCGTACACATTGCAATAGTTAACCTGGATCAGTAGGACATAAAATCTGGTGAGAAAATGTGATTACAAAACAAAATGGAAATAATCAAACTTGCATAAAGGCTTGGTGATAGAGTTACGTGAAAACTTTCATATCCATTCCAAGAAAGTTAAACAGAGCTGAACTACTATAAGTACAGAAAATTGTAGTGATTGTGATAAGATCAGCCAGGTGGACCTCACAGAATATGAGTTCCCTGATTGAGGCTGTTAATCTGGTCTAATCAGGGAGCCCTGGCTGACAGATGTAAACAGGAGTGTCAGAGGTTCTGTTCACTCTGAGAGCTAGCTCTGAGGAAGCCGAACAAGTGTCAAGTACAATGAAAGGATGACTTGGTGACAGGTTACTAGCCTCTGTGGAGTTATTTCAAAAATGACTTTGGGTAGAAACTTGCAGAAGTGGGGAATGAGCAGATCACTCAATATCAGCTCACAGTCCAGACGGCAAGTTGACTGAAAGCCAACATGCTCCTTGCAAGCCTATCCTATTGCAATGCAGCAGGCAGGCTAAATTGGCTAAGTGGGACTTTTACCCCTCACTCAGAAGGAAATCTCACCTTCAGGAGTTGTTCAATAATCTGACTGGTTGCCAGCTCCGTCTTACCTGGCAGTGCCAGAGCTCTGTAGTGGGAGTTGCTGGTACTGCAGAAAGGAGCCTGTAAAGGAACTTGGCTGCCCCAAGAAAGTAAGATTCTGAGTAATCCAAGATGGAGGACGGGAAAATATTGTGTCTGTAAGAGCTGCTCCTTTTTTTTCAGATATTTTCAGTATTGGAGCTGATTTCCCTGAATTCTAGCAACAGTAATTACTGTCATAGGTTGTGCATTGTTTTAGAACTTTGGGCAAAGAAGAGATCAAAACAACGGCACTTTAAAAAAAGGGAGACAGACAAAAGCAGTGACCACATAGGAAGTGAATCAAATGGAGAAATAAACCTGCACTGCTGTGTGACCCAGCAGTAACCTGCACTGCTGATTGTTCTGCTGTTTCATTATCTCTGGACGTTGGAGTCCTCTAAGAAAAATTAACAAACAGCAAAGTTCACAGCTGACCGTGGAGAAACCTGTGTAGGAGTGCTTACTTTTTTTTTGTAAATCCACAATAGTGAGTAGACTGGTTTCTTTTTTGATTACACGTTTTATTGAGATCTGTCTCTTGATTAAACTTTAAAAATATAAAAAATAGGATGAAGTTAGCCTGGAGCAGTGTTTTTTAAAGCAGTAGGATTGTGCTATTTTCTGGGTCTGTAGATTGTTAAGGTGCAAAGGTGGCCTTTAGTGGAGTGATGTGCTCTTCCTGTCGGACGTGGAAGATTAGGGAGAATTTCCATGTTACTGATGATTATGTCTACAGGAAGCATGTTTGGTTGTGAATCCTATTAGATCAGTTGGAGCGGGAGTTAAAGGCAATGAGGAATTTATAGGACCTAGGGGGTGTGATGGATGGCAGTTGCAGGAAGGGAGATAGACCGAAGATTCAGTCAGGTAGATGTGTTACCTCCAGGAGCGGCACAGTGGCTCAGTGGTTAGCACTGCTGCCTCACAGCGCCAGGGACCCATGTTCAATTCTACCCTCGGGTGACTGTATGTGTGGAGTTTGCACATTCTCCCAGTGTCTGCGCGGGTTTCCTCCGGGTGCTCCAGTTTCCTCCCACAATCCCAAGATGTGCAGGTTAGGTGGTTTGGCCATTCTAAATTGCCCATAGAGTTCAAAGATGTGTAGATAAGGTGGGTTATAGGGGGATGGGTCTGGGTGGGATGCTCCGAGGGTCGGTGTGGACTTATTGGGCTGAAGGGCCTGTTTCCACACTGTAGGGATTCTATGAAATGTAGGAGAGGGAGGAAGGTTGTGCAGGAGTCTCCTGTTGTTATTCCCATCTTCAGCAAGTATGCTGTTTTGAAAAATGTAGGGGGTGATGGACTCTCAGGGGAATGTAGCACTGACAGCCAGGTTTCCGGTGCCAAGACTGGCTCCAATGTAATGAGGGTTACGTCAGGTTCCAGCGATCGATTGTGATAGGGGACTCTCTAGTCAGCAGCACAGACAAACGTTTCTGTGGCTGACAGCAAGAAATCAGAATGACGTGTTGCCTCCCTGGTGCCAGGATCAAGGATATCTCAGAGAGGGTGCAGAATATTCTCAAAGGGGAAAGGGACCAGCAGGAGGTCATTGTACACATTGGAACTAACGACATAGGAAGAGAAAGGGATGAGATTCTGAGGACAGAATAGAGGAAGTTAGGTAGAATTTAAAAAGGAAGTCCTCAAGGGTATTAATATCTGGATCACTCCTGGTGCCATGAGCTAGTGAGGCTAGGAATAGCAGGATACAGCAGATGACTGTGTGGCTGAGGAGCTGGTGCAGTGACAAGGAATCACGGTTTTGGATTATTGGAATAATTTCTGGGGTAAAAGTGACCTGTATAAGAAGGATGGATAGCACCTGAATTGGAAGGGGACTAATATACAGACAGGGAGATTTACTAGCGCTGCTTGGGAGGATTTAAACTAGGGGTGGAATGGGACCCAGGGATATAGTGAGGAAAGACATCAGTCTGAGATGGGTACAGTTGGGAAAAGGAGGAAGTCAAACAGTCAAGGCAGGCAGGAAAAAAACAGAGAACGTGGTAGGACTGATAAATTAAACTGCATTTATTTCAATGCAACAGGCCTAACAGGCAAGATAGATGAACTCAGGGCACGGTTGGGAACATGGGGCTAGGATATCATAGCAATTACCGAGATGTGGCTCTGGGATGGACAAGATTGGCAGCTTAATGTTCCAGGGTATAGATGCTGTAGGAAGGATAGAAAGGGGGGCAAGAGATGAGGTGGAGTGGCATTTTTGATTAGGGATAACATTACAGCTATACTTAGGGAAGACATTCCTGGGAATATGCCCAGGGAAGCTATTTGAATGGAACTGAGAAATAAGAAAGGGATGATCACCTTATTGGGATTGTACTATAGACCCGCAGTCTGCAGGAAATGAAGAAGCAAATTTGTAAGAATAATAGGGTGGTTATGGTAGGGGACTTTAACTTTCCAAACATAGACTAGGACTGGCATAATGTTAAGGACTTGGATGCAGAGGCACTTGTTAAGTGTGTACAAGTAAATAGTCTGATTGAGTATGTGGCTGTACCTACTAGAAAAGGTGTAAAACATGATCTACTCTTGGGAAATAAGGCAGAGCAGGTGACTGTGGTGTCAGTTGGGGGGAGCACTTTGGGGCGAGTGACCATAATTCTATTAATTTTAAAATAGTGTTGGAAAAGGATGGACAGAATATAAAAGTTAAAGTTCTAAATTGGAGGTAGGCCAATTTTGATGGTATTAGGCAAGAACTTTCAAAAGTTGATTGGGGGTGGATGTTTGAAGGTAAAGGGAGGCCTGGAAAATGGGAAGTCTTCAAAAATGAGATAATGAGAGTCCTGAGACAGTATGATCCTATTAGGACGAAGGGCAAGCTGGTAGGTGTAGATGACTAGAAAAATTGAAGTTTTAGTCAAGAAAAAGAAAGAAGCATATGTCAGGTATAGAAAGCAGTAATCGAATGATTCCCTAGAAGAGTATATAAGCGGTAGGAGTATACACAAGAGGGAAATTAAGAGGGCAAAAAGGGGACACGAGATAGCTTTGGCAAATAGAGTTAAGGAGAATCCAAAGGGACTCTACAAATACATTAAGGATAAAAGGGTAACTGGGGAGAGAATAAGGCCCCTTATGTTTGGAACCGCAGGAGACGGGGGAGATACTAAATGAGTATTTTGCATCAATGTTGACTGTGGAGAAGGATATGCTAGATATGGAACGTGGGGAAATAAAAAGCGACATCTTGAAAAATGTCCATATTTTAGAGGTGGTGGTGGCGGACAGCTTAAAACGTATAAAGGTGGATAAATCCCCAGGATCTGATGAGGTGTATACCCTAGGACTCTGCGGGAAGCTAGAGAGTGATTGCTGGACCCCTTGCTGAGATATTTGTATCAGCCATAGCCACAGGTGAGGTGCTAGAAGACTGGAGGTTGGCTAACATGGTGCCATTATTTAAGAAAGGTGGTAAGGAAAAGCTGCTGAACTATAGTCAGTTTAGCCTGGCATCAGTGGTGGGTAAGTTGCTGGAGGGAATCCTGAGGGCCAGAATTGACATGTATTTGGAAAGGCGAGGGCTGATTCGGGATAGTCAACTTGGCTTTGTGCGCAGGAAATTGTATGTCTCTAAAACTTGATTGAGTTTTTTCAAGAACTAACGAAGAGGATTGATGAGGACAGAGCAGTGGATGTGATCTATACTGACTTCAGTAATGAGTTCGACAAAGGGTCCTCATGGAGAAGTAGCCATTTGGATACAAAACGACTCGAACATAGAAGATAGAGGGTTTCATGGAGAGTTGCTTTTCAGACTGGAGGTTTGTGAACAGTGGTGTGCCACATGGATTGATACTTGGTCCACTGCTTTTCTTAATTTATATAAATGATCTGGATATGAACATAGCAGGTATAGTTAGTAAGTTTTCAGACGACTCTAAAATTGGAGGTGTAGTGGACAGCAAAGAAGGTTACCTCAGATAAACAGCGAAAGAACTGTGGATGCTTTAAATCAGGAACAAGAACAGAAGTTGCTATAAAAGCTCAGCAGGTCTGGCAACACCTGTGAAGAAAAATCAGAGTTAATGTTTCAGGTTCTGAGGAACGGTCACCGGACCCGAAACGTTAACTCTGATTTTTCTTCACAGATGCTGCCAGACCTGCTGAGCTTTTCCAGCAACTCCAGCTTTTTTTCCTGAAGGTTACCTTGGAGTACAACAGGATCTTGATCAGATGGGCCAATGGGCTGAGGAGTGGCAGATGGAGTTCAATTTAGATAATATGAGGTGCTACGTTTTGGAAGACAAATCAGGGCAGGACTTATACATTTCATGGTAAGGTCCTGGAAAGTGCTGCTGAACAAAGAGACCTTGGAGTGCAGGTTCATAGTTCCTTGAAAGTGGAGTCGCAGGTAGACAGGATAGTGAAGAAGGCATTTGGTATGCTTGCCTTTATGGGTCAGTGCATCGAGTATAGGAGTTGGGAGGTCATGTTGCAGCTGTACAGGACATTAGTTAGGCCACTTTTGGAATACTGCATGCAATTCTGGTCTCCCTGATAGAGGAAGGATGTTGTGAAACTTGAAAGGGTTCAGAAAAGATTTACAAGGACGTCGCCAGAGTTGGAGGGTTTGAACCATAGGGAGAGGCTGAATAGGCTGGAGCTATTTCCCCTGGAACATCGGAGGCTGAGGGGTGACCTTATAGGAGGTTTATAAAATCACGAGAGGCATGGATAGGGTAAATGGGCAAGGTCTTTTCCCTGGAGTAGAGGTGGGGAATATGGAGTCCAAAACTAGAGGGCATTGGTTTAAGGTGAGAGGGGAAAGATTTAAAAGGGATCTAAGGGGCAACTTTTTTTAAGCAGAGGGTGTTGTGTGTCGGGAATGAGGAAGTGGTGGAGGCTGTTAAAATTACAACCGTTAAAAGGCATCTGAATGGGTATATGAATAGGAAGGGTTTAAGAGGGATATGGGCCAAATGCTGGAAAATGGGATTTGATTTATATGGGACATCTGGTTGGATGAGTTGGACAAGAGGGTCTGTTTCCATGCTGTACATGACTCTACGTCACAGGTTTCAAGATGGAAGGATGCTACAGTGCAGGGAACGGGTAGAGAGTGGTGGAGGGGCTACGTTCTGTTTGGTAGGTGAAGTTGGTATCTTACAAACAGCAATACGGCACAGTAACAGACCCTTTGGCCCTCCAAGTAAAAAGTAAATTCTCGGTTAGTAGCCTGCAGACTTGATCAGCATGGATTGAAACCATGACCTTTGCATTATTAGTGCCACACTCTAACCATTTGAGCTATCCATCCAACACAATCTTGGAAGTTGCGTCAGCAAACACAAGGCACCTCCAGGTTGATGATCTTGGCACCCATCTGCTTTTCTTTTAATGGGATTGCACTTGAGGGTGGGTGTGAAGGAAGGTGATTGCTGGCTATCTGACCAATTCACACTCCTCCCCACATGCTGAAATCACACCCATGGAGCATTTAATATCCAACCTCCATTTCTTCACAGAAGAACTGAAAGATCACATCCAGGAAAGCTTTTCATGCCAGTAGATGGTCCTACTAGAGATGGAGTAGTGCTAGACCTAATCCTAGGGAAACTGGTCAAGTGGTTGAAGTTTCAGTGGGTGAGCACTTTGGGGATAGTGACCATAGCTCTAAGTTTCAAAGTCAGGGATAAGGATAGTGCAGAAGTTAAGAGATAAATTGAGGGAAGGCCTATTTCAATATCATTATACAAGATCTGGCAAATATAGACTGGGAGCAGCTACCTGGATGTAAGCCTACATTTGGAAAGTGGGAGCCTTTTAAAAGTAGTATCGTGAGAATTCAGTGTTTTCCTCCAAGAGTGAAGGGCAAGGGCATCAAGTCCAGGGAACCCTAGATGTCAAGGGATATTGCCAGTATGATAAAGAAAAAGAAAGAAGCATTGTCAGGTACAGCATGTTAAAAACAGGAGTGGTCCTTCAAAAGTCACAGAGTCATACAGCACAGAAACAGACCCTTTGGTCCAACTCGTCCATGCCAACCAAGTTTCCCAGACTAAACTAGTCCCACTTGCCTGTATTTGGCCCATACCCCTCTAAACCTTTCCTATTCATTTATCTGTCCAAACGTCCTTTAAATGTTGTAACTGTACCTGCATCTACCAGTTTCTCTGACAGTTCACTACATATATGAATCAAACTATGTGTGAAAACATTGCTCCCCAGGTCCATTTTAAATTTTTCTCCTCTCACCTTAAAAACATGCCCCCTAGTTTTGAACTCTCTCACCTGACGGAAAATAACTTTCCTATTTACCTTATCTATGTCCCTCATGATTTTATAAACCTCTATAACATCAGCCTTCAACCTCCTACGCTCCAGTGAAATAAGTCCCAACATAGCCAGCCTCACCTTATAACTCAAACCCTCAAGCCCCAGCAACATCCCAGTAAATCCTTTCTGAACCTTCTCCAATTTAATAATATCCTTCCTGTAGCAGGATGACCAGAATTACACAGTACTGCAAAAGCATTGATAGTATAGGAGATTACTTAAAAAGGAAATTCGAAGGGTAAAGAGGAGCCATGAAATATCTTTGGCAAATGGGATTAAGGAAAATCCCAAGTCTTTTTATAAGTATATTAATATTAATAAGATTATCATGGAAAGAATAGGACCTAAAAGAAACCAAAGGGGCAACCTGTGCATGGAGCCAGTGGACATAGGTGAAGTCTTAAATGAATACTTCTCATCTTTATCCACAATGGAGAAAACGTTGCACCAAAGGATATCAGTTGGGATGTTGAGGTTCTAGAGCATGTTAAGATTAATACAGAGGAAGTATTAGATGTTTTGGCAGGCATACAGGTGTGTAAATCCCTACGGCCTGATGAGATGCATCCCAAGCTGCAATGGGTGGCAAGCGAGAAGATTACTGGGGCGCTGGCAGATTTATTTAATACTTCGCAGGCCACAGGTGAAGTGCCAGATGACTGGAGAATAGCTAATGTGATTCCCTTGTTTAAGCAGGGCAGCAGGGACAGGCCAGATAATTACAAATCAGTTAGAATGATGTCAGTGGTACAGAAATTATTGGAAAAAATTCTGATGGACAGGATTAACCAATACTTGGAAAGGCAGGGATTGATCAGGGATAGTTAGCATGGATTTGTTAGAGGGAGAGCCTGTCTGTCTAAGTTAATTGATTTTTTTTTTGTAAAGGTGACTAAATATGTTGATGAAGGTAGTGCAGTTGATGTGGTAGACATGGACTTCAATAACGCCTTTGACAAGGTCCCACATGGAAGGCTGGTCCAACAGGTATCCAAGGCAAATTGGATCAAAAAGTGACTTAGAAATAATGAAGGGTTGTTTTTGTAATTGGAAGTCTGTGACCAGCAGTGTACCACAGGGATCACAGCTGGGACCCTTGCTGTTTATTCTGGATATTAACAGCTTGGATGTCAATATGGAAGGCTTATTTAGTAAGCTGCAGATGACATGAGAATTAGTGTGTTGTCAACGGTGACGTGGATGGTCTCAGGCTACAGTCTGATATTGATCAGCTGGTAAACTCAACAGAGCAACGGCAGGTGGAATTTCATCCTGACAAATGTGAGGTGATGTGTTTTGGCAGGTCTCATAAGGGAAGGATAAACACAGTGAGTGGTAGGTCCTACAGAATACTGAGGAACAATGGGACCTTTGTGAACAAGTCCACAGATCCCTGAAGGTGTCAGTACAAGTAGACAGAGTGGTGAGGAAGGTGTACAGGCTGCTTGCAATCATTAGCCGGGACGCAGAATACGGGGGCGAGGCAGTCTTGTTACAACTTTATAAAACATTATTTAGACCACGAAGCGAATACTATGTGCAGTTCTGGTCACCATATTATCAAAATGACTCACTGCACCAGGGAAAGTGCAGAGGAGATTCATCAAGATGTTGCCTGGGATGAAAATTCTTAGTTATGAGGAGAGACTGGATAGGCTGGGTTTGTTTTCCCTGGGGCAGAGTCAGATAGGGTATCTGATTCAGGTATACAAAATTATGATAGGCATAAACAGTAGATTGTGATAATCTCTTCCAATTTTAAACACGTTTAAGACCAGAGGACATAAGTTTAAGGTGAGGAATACATGGTTTAGAAGAGATCTGAGAATTATTTTACCACCCAAAGAGTGGTAGATATATAAAACATGCTACCTGAGAGGGTGGTGGAGGCAGGTACTCTCGAAACATTTAGGGGTCATCTGGATGAGTACTTAAAATGCTGGGGCACTGTAGGTTACAGACCAAATACAGTTAAATGGGATTAGTGGGGTTTGGTGTTTGTTGGTTGGCTTAGACATGGTGGGCCAAAGGCCTTGTTTCTATGCTGTATTACTCTCTGACTCACACTGTATCATCACAACATGTGAACGAAAAATAATAGCTGTCTTCATGTGGAGATCTGAATAGTTTTAGTCCATGTTGAAGATAATTTGAACATTTGGAAAATATTTCTGCAGTCAGTTGAAAAGAAACTGAAACCTGGGATATGTTTTATGCAGATTTCTTTAGGTTGTGCACAAAGTGGGGGCATGACGTCATTACAAGATGAAACATTATAAATTTAAAGGAAATATTGGCAGCAAATTCTATCGCCTACACAAAATTGCCATTGCTAGAATTCTGTTGTAACTACTGTAGCATAGATCCGTTATTTTACCACCTGACGAATGTTTTCTTTTAGTTCCTAATTTTAACAAAAAGGAACCATAAAATAATATTGGAGCAAATTACTGCAAATGCTGGAAACTGTACTGAAATCAATAAATGCTGGAGATCACAGCAGACCATCCATGGAGAGACAGCAAGCTAACTTTTCAAGTCTAGATGACTCCTCATCAGAGCTCTGATGTTTTCATAAAACAATATTGCCTGCTTTTCTTGTCACTTTTTCTAATCATGGCATATAGAATACATATTTTTGAATAAATCAAATAAATGATCCCAAATGAACATCAGTATAGTTTTAGGTCTTACTTAGTGAGGATTTTAGACTGATCCAATGCTGGCTTCTCCACATCCTGTCCATGGAGGATTAACTCAGCTACTTTATGGAGTTGCTCAATGCAGCGTGCTGTTATCTCAGCCAGACTCTCAATTGATAACATCAAAACATCCTGCATTGAAATCACAGATAAATGTTCTTTACAAATAAATATTTCTTTCTATAATTTTTACTCCATTCTCCTTGCTTGAATAGCTCACTGCAGTTGCCAGCCATCCATCATCATCTGGTAAAACATTTTTTTCTTTTCATTTGTGGGACGTGGGCATTGCTGGCTGACTAGCATTTATGGCTCGTCCCTAATTTCCCTTGTACGTACAGCCAGTGTTCTTAAGAAGGGAGGGCACAATTTCGCTTTTTGTGGATTTGCAGAGGGAGGTGGCGAGAAGAGCAAATTGGCCTGAGGAGGTACTTGCTGCAGCCTGGTTTTTCTACCAGCAAATGGCATGGTGGTGTGCTCCTGGATTAATGATCCAGAACTTCCAACACTGCACACCGAGGTCATTGCTTCAAGTCCCATCACAACAGATAGTGGAATTTAACTTCAATAAAAATCTGGAATAAAAGACTGGCTTAATGGCAACTATGTAATCATTGTTAATTGTCGTAAAATCCCAACTGATTCACTATTGTCCTTTAGGAAAGGAAATGTGCCATCCTTACTGGTTCAGCCAGGTATGTTTCAGTCCAGAACTGCAGCAATGTGGCTAACTCTGAACTGCCCTTTAAGCAATTAGGGATGAACAATAAATACTCACCTAGTCTGCAAAACCCACATTCCTTTGAATTAATAAACAAAATATGTTAGAAATTCTGCACACACCAAAATATGTTGAGCAGTACTGAAATGAGTGATTAATTCATTTTTTTCATGTAATCTTCTAAATTCAGAGTTCACATAAAGCTTACTTGTCCTGAATAACCCACAGTATAGTATTTCATCCAAAACAATGTCACAAGATACAGCCTTTTATATTGAAACTAAATGGTACATTTTGAGTTTTGCAGAATTAGATTGCTGTTGGACATTACAGCTGAAAAAAGGCTTTGTAGATTTGAATAACAAAAATTAGTATCAATAATATTGAGAATATCTTTTAATTTAAGCTGTTGCATCTGCTTTACTACTTAAAAAAAATCCTAACCTCTACAGATAACAAGGTGTGGAGCTGGATGAACACAGCAGGCCAGGCAGT